CTCAAAGGAATACAGGAAAACATGCTTGAATGAGGTTCAAGATCTTTTATTGGTCACAAACACAGTTGTACACGGTATACACGCAGTGAAATGTGTTGTGTTCCACACCGAAACAATAATAATAGATAAATAAAGATAAAGAAAAATAAGGAATAGAACACACAAGAAATATATATATATATATATTTAGAGATTGAAATAGCAGCAATAAATAAATCAAATTTCCAAACAGTGCAAAAAGGGAATAAACAAATAGAGAAAATAATAATAATACTATATACATGTGTATATACAAGATGAAAGGTGCAAAGTGACTGGTTTGATTATCTATTGAGTCTATTGTTTCAGGTTCAGCAGGTGGACAGCCTGAGGCAAGAAGCTCCTCCTCATCCTCTCTGTGTTTGCCTTCAGGCAGCGGTAACGCCGCCCTGACGGCAGCAGAGAGAACAGTCTGTGGCTGGGGTGGGTGGGCTCACTCACAATCCTCCTGGCCTTTAACCTGCATCGTTTGGTGTAAATGTCCTGCAGGTTGGGGAGCGTGGTTCTGATGGGGCGCTCAGCTGAGCGGACCACCCTCCTCAGTGCCAAGAAGTCCTGCTGGGTGCTGCTGCCCATTCACGTGGTGATACTCCCAACCAAAACACTCTCAATGGTGCAGGTGTAGAAGCTCCTGAGCACCATGAGCGGGAGCTTAAAGTCCCTCAGGCGTAGAGGAGGTAGAGACGCTGTCAAGCCTTTTTCACCAGGGTGTTGATGTGACAGGACCACGTCAGGTCCTGCGTGATGTTGACACCCAGGTGCTTGAAGCTCTCCACTCGCTCCACATCTGTCCCACTGATCCTGAGTGGGTGGTTTGCCCTCTGCTGCTTCTTGCTGTAGTCCACAATCAGCTCTTTGGTCTTGCTGACGTTCTGGAGGAGGCTGTTGTCTCTGCACCAGTCCTCCAGGTGGGTGATCTCCATCAAATAGTCCTCCTCGTTGTTGTTGGAGATCAGACCACTTGAAGACTGCTTGATTAAGCAGCTCTGGCAAGTAGCGTTACCCCTGTTGAGACTTTTTAAGGGTCCAGAGAGCCGAAGAAAGCTTTTTCTAAAAGTTATCTTTTCATGTTGATTTTGGCACTATGGCCAAATGTGTTAATTATCTATTTCTACAACCAGAGGAGGTCGGGCAAAGATCAGACGAGTGATGATGACTTCATTCGCACTCTGAAGATACTGAAGATATGATAGGAGCCTTTTTTTTTTTTTTAATGGAAAATGGTGACCACTGTTCCTTAAAGCTCCATTTATCATAGTGAGTGTAAACACAATGAGGATAACAAGAGAAAGGCTGTTAAATTTTGGTTGTCACATCCTCCTCATGGCTTCACAAAACCCCACCACACATTCAAATGTAACACAATTACACAATCCTGTCCTGGTAGCACGTAATTACCCTGTGTGTTGCTGTTGCTGCTTTATTACTGCACTGAATGATCTGTTTTTACCTGTAGACTCCAACTCATCACCACTCCCTGAACTTCAGCAAGGAGGGTCCCTTGCTTAACACAGGAGCTCGCACACATAAACACAAGCACGCACAAACCTATATCGGCAGGTTAATTAGAGTGATAGATATCATCATAAGTGTGACAGAAGGTTTATTTGCAAGGGAAATGAGGGAAATGTAGCCTTTATTAAATGTCTACCTCTATGCCACAGGAGGCCTCCTAATTGCTGCCTGAGACATACAGCAATTTCCACCTAATTTATTCCTGGCAGGCATCGTGTATAGGGCACTCTGTGCTGCATTCCCGCAATGCCAGGAAGGCTTGTCTATTTCCCATGAATGTAAATCACTGTACAACGTACAGTTTCATTAAATCTTACTGACTGACACTACAACAGAGCAACAGTGGCTCCTACTTTGTTAATTATAAATTAGGGGGTGAAAAAAAAAACCTGATGTCATATTGAGCTGACAGTTAACTTCTGTCTGTATTTGCCCTCTTTTCTATGTTGTGTTTAAAATGAAGAGTTGCCATTATGTAGCTGTCCTCTCTGACTCAAAGCAATGCTCTGTCTCCAAGGTGACAACACATTTACATTGTAGCCATGGACACCACCATCTATCACCTTATGTATGGCATTCAGTGACTTGCAAATCAAGAGGCATCGCTCGTGATAATGTCAGACGAGCTCAACTATGTCTTTTACAAACCTGGCAACAGTGCAGCGATGGCAGCTCGTACGCATAAAGGGTTAAAGTCAGCTTCAGCCATAAAAAAGGCGCTGACTGACAGAAATATCAGTACATATCAATTGCTTGGCATCTGTATTAAAGCTGAGTGCAATTTCTCATTTTATCAACAGGAAGCATGGCTGTCTTGTAGAATTATACTCTGCCGTTCCGGTGTCCCTAGGAGGCCACTAAGGCACATGACGTGAGGTGAATGATAAGTATGACCCTTGGCCTGATGATATGATATTCCCAGCAGGGTCATCACAGTCACTCCTCGTCCTATAGCAGCTCTGACTTTGTGTTATTGAGCTCGGGCCCTCCAGCTGTTTAGAGTGCTATATTTCAAGTAATTTAGTCATAGGATATGAGAGTAGAGCTGCAGAGCGCATGTGCATAAGACTGCATGAGGGTTTGTGTGTGTTTGTGTGTGTAATAGATGTTTTGACTGACATGTCAAAGGTAATTGAGTCATAGGTAAGAGAGAGCGAACTTGCCAGCTGTCAGTCTCTTAGAAGCTGAATCTGTGTGTCAGAATGCAGCACTCCCTACAACTTTAAGAGACAGGTGTATGAGAGTGTCTGCATGTGTGTGTGTGCCTTTGTGCTCACCCACCATACATTCTGCTGCATAGATGCCATGCAGCACCTCAAATCAGGCAGGGCCACTGCAGACGAAATGGCCTCTGCACTATGATTCTACACATTCTGAATAATGAATGGGGTCTGAACACAGACATAATCTTAAAGTCAATCTGTTCAAGCTGAAAAAATACAGTTCCTCCTCCTCATTCCTAAGTCAGGATGATTAAGTTCAAAGAAACCATTTTCCCTTTGGAGGCTGTTTTTCAGCTGAATTCTTGCTTAAAATGGGGGCACAGTGGAACATTTTACCAACAAAAATCCACTACTGAACATCTGCATGCATGCAAAACAATTTTCTTGTGCTGCTCCTTGTTGTTATACAAGGTGAAAATGCCCCAGGGCGGATCAGCTGTAGCTCTGCAAAGGTTGTACAGGGTCTTACTGATGTCAAAATTGTTCCACACACAAACACATAGTTTATATGTGGAGCCACCAAACTATACAGATTGTCGAAATCTTTCTTTTGAAATATTCTGGTGGTCACACACAGCATGCATACATAATGTGCAGATGATTATATATGTTTACTTTCTACAAAGCAACGTATGACCAATTTCTTTCAGTGCTGATGTTGCAGCTTTAAGGTCCATCATTGCTATTGTTAGAATTTTTTGCATCATTAACCATATGCTTTCAGATGCTGACTATATTTTGGGTGTATTGTATTGTGACTTGGGAAGCATGTCTGGTTCTGGGTTCTGTGTTTGGACCTACTAGGGCCGTTCTGTATGGAGTTTACATGTTTGCATGCATGTGTTTTCTCTTCTGTCCAAAGACATGCATGGTAGGTTAAATGGTATTTTTAAACTGGCGATAGGTGTGAGCCCTGAGATGGGATGGCAGCCTGTCTAGGGTGTACGCCACCTTTCACTCAAAGTCAGCTGCGATAGACTCCAACACCCTGAGATGCTCTACAGGATCAAGCACGTATAGCTGATGGATGGATCTATTCTGACTTAATTTTGCCAGGTTGTGAAGTTTTTGTCTAACAGAAAAGTACAGCATGCTCCATTCAGGGGTTTTAACGCTGACTCGGACAACACAGAATCGAATCAAAGAACTTCAAGGACGTAATTAAACAGCAAACAGCTGTGTTAGTGCACACAATCTGTCTGTCTCATGCAAGGTCACACCGAGTGTAAGCAAGATGCGAAATAAAAGAAAACACAGGACTACAAATGCTCAATCTACAACGATGGAAAATATCAACATATGCTACTCGAGTTTGTAATTAGCAATCCCTTTGCACTGTACTGTCATTTAAATGTCTGTAATATCATTAACAATACTAGTATAATCACAATCAGTCATCTTAAATTCTCAATGACCTTACCTTTGCTTGTTTTGCTGAACTTACCTTACAAAAGCAGCCTAGGTTGAGTTGTTATCCCAGGTAAACAGGAACTGAGATGGTAGCTGTTTGCAGGCTGACAAGATTCCTGCCCCGACTGTTCTTTCATTCATTTTATTCAAGGACATTTCCATCATCACCCTTCCCCATCAGAGTGTTAAGGCTTTCACACCTACAACTGGCCCACTTCTGTAGGCTGTGAAATGTGTCAATTCTGACTCCACTAGCACAATGTCAGAAAGGAAAAGGATTATTCTTCAGGGAATAAATTGATGTGAAAAAGTCTTAAAAATTCTTTGAGGCCCGCTTTTTATAGAAGTGTATTGTTTAATGGGTAGTGCTCATTTGTACAGGCCCGTGTCAGCATCAAACACTTCCTGCATTTGCCTACTTGTCATAAATGATGAGCAGCATATATGTGCACTGAACTGGTCATTGTTCATGTTCACTGAAACAACCTTAATCCAGTATATTTGAATTTACTTTTAATCCAACAATTTAAACTTTAGTGCGTTTTCAGGATTATATTTTATCTAAGAGCATCACCTGGTGGCCAAAAGTTGAGTTGCACATGCAACGCTGATTAGTGAACTTCAGATCAAACCGTGCGTTGAACACGCTTGTATTATGCTGTATTAATATTATTTGATTGATATTGATATTAGTAGCTGCTTCTAGGTATTTTAGCGCTCTGTTACACCGGTTAAACGGATGTGTGTAGCTTATCTGTTAGCCGGAACTTCTCTCCTCGTGTTGAGCGCTACACGGAACCCACGAATGCTACACCGGTAATGCTAACCAGCTGTGTAGCTAGTCTCGCCGGTTGTTGCTGACACTCAGTCACTTAGCTTGTTATTTCGACTGCAGTTTTGTTCACCGGTCCAGAGCTGAATGACAGCGACTGTGCTGTCTATGTGTCACTGTTTTGTACAAATTTCATGCAGCTGAGACGGTAAAAATGAGAGAAGGGTGAGTAGGTGGCTGCTTTGCTAACCATTATTGAGGAAGCTAGGTGGCTAACTTCAAAAGCTACATATAACAGTGCTAACAGCACTAGCAGGGGGAAAGGATAGCTTAATTGTTAGCATGTCTGTCACTGAGCTAACTCGATTGCAGCTAACGTTGCTTTACACTGGATGTAGTTCGATTTTAGGCTCAGTAACTTCAGAGCTCGGTGTGCCGCCGAGGCAGAGCTGACACCTTGTTTTGACAGACCAGGAATGATGCTGAGTGATGACTGGCGTTGGCGTTGGTTAACATAAGCTAGCTAACTGTCAAAGCTCTCCAAACGTCAGTCGTGTAAGCTTTACATCAGGCTTCCATCAGCTGTCACCATTTCTTCCTTGTGGGTGGGGTCGATTTATTTTTTCAGTCTTTTTGATATTTGTAAATGCATTTTCATTTCTCCCTCCCCAGCAACGCTAATGTGTTTTAGCATTGGGGACCTGGAGAACCTCAGTAATGGATATACCTGCACACTGTGCCTACACCTGATTAAGCTGGCAGTTGCAGTTCATCAGAAGTTGGTGTCCACTAAATCTTTATTGGCTGACCACACCTGGTCAATCTAACTGGGTGGAGATACAGTTACCAAAAAATGAGGGGAAAAATGCACTAAAAATCAGAAGGACCATCTCAGAGTATCAATGGTTAACATTTTTCTAGCTGGTTGTGACACTCACAGACAATGGATGGGATAGAAGGCTGATTGCAGTCTGTCACATCATTCACAGTATTTTGTGGTAATTTACGATTACTGTCATTATGGAGATGTCCAGTGCTGGTTCAAGTAGCTGGATGCTTTAA